CCGTGAGTCGCCGGCGACGGCAGGTGGGTTGCCATGGGTTGCCATGGGCTGCTGTGTGTAGCCAGCAGCCAGCATGAGCGGCCAGCAGCCGCTGTGAGCTGCCGTCCAAAAGCTGGTGACTGATCTGCCTTGCCCAGGAAGAGCACAATGATGGTGCTAATTTGGGCCAGTGAAGCAGCATCCTCCACTGCTAGACTGAGGAGCAAGGGGATAGCAACTTGTCTGTTCCCCTTCCCCCAATTCCCCAATAAAAATCTTTTAAAAAAATAAATAAATAAATAAAATAGTAGTGACTGGAGAATTGGAATTGAAGAATTTTAAGACCTTATATTAATTTGGTTAACAATGAAATCAAAGTTGGTTTGCCTTTGAAATGGTCTTTTCCTACCAGCAAGAAGTGGGGGTGTGCTCCCACCTCCAGCCTTATGACCATGAATGGGCAGCTGTTTGCTGGGCTCACAGCCTCCCCTCACCCCACCTTCACATCCTGATAATAGCTTGGCTGGGGGTCCAGGAACGCAGGAGCAGCTGTTACTCCCCCTATCGCATAAAGCTCGTGGGCTGGGGTGTGATTAAGAGGGGCACTGATGGAAAGTGCAGCTGAGACAAGAGAGGAAACCTGGCTGGAGGAATCCAGCCAATTTAGGTGCCACCACTACCCTCCCCATCCCACCGCACCTGCCTCCCAACGTTTACTGCCAGGGGACAGGGAGAGGAAGTATTTTATACATAATATAGAGGAAGTGCCCTCCAGAGACATGGATAAGACAAATACCCTAGGGCCACACCCAGGAGAGCTCTCTCCAGGGCATTCTGAGCAAATGCTGTCCTTTGGCGCTGTGCTCTGACCAAGGCGGGGGGTCAGAGGTGGGGGGCCAAGTCCTGAAACCCATGTCAGCATGAGCTCCAGTTCTCTCCTCAGTCTACATCTGAAGGAGGCAGGGGCAGCCCACTGGCCTTTGAAGTGGGCTTTGAGGGGATGTCTACATACCACAATGCCTGAGAATAAATGGCAAGAAATATTGTGTCTTTATTTGTAATTACACTCACACTCCACAAATGTGAACGTGTAGGTGCAATATTGATCTCATTTGTATACTCTACTTTTGTATTTTATAAGTAGTGAATTTAGAGATTCTACCTATGGGCAGAGGCACATCTCTAAGAGAAAGCCTTGGCCATTTGGGTCAGAGCTGATGAGATCAGATTTGGCTCACGTACCCTCCTCTCTGCCTCCTATGATGACAAAACCTGTTCCCATTTTTAGCATTTATTCTTGTCAGGCACCGGACCAACTACATGACATGCATTATCTTGACAACCCTTAAAACTCCCCTATGAGGCAGGTGTGATCACCTTCATTTCACAGAAGAACGAACTGAGGCTTAGAGTAGTTAAGTAACTTGCTTGAAGTCACACAGCTGGTAAGGAAGCCAAGATCCAAAGTCAGTTTTGACAGTGGCAAAAGCCCTTAGTCTGAACCAGAAGTCCATGGCTCTTTGACTTCAACCTGCATCACACCCATCTAGGGTAAATATTTATTAAAATGTAGGTTCCAGGTCCCACTTCTTGGCATTCCTATTTAGACTGGAGTGTAACCCCGGAATCTGCACTTCTAACAAGCACCTCAGGTGAGGCTGGTGCCTCACTTTGAGAAACACTGCTCTCCTCACCTTGCCCAGAAGAAACCCATGGGCCACATGTGAAGTCACTTTCGCTCCCCATCCAGCTTTCTTAATCAGCCCAACTCTTTAGACCCCTTGGCCCCCGCCCCACCCTCAGAATTCACACCGGTGAGCAAACTTCCTTACTTGTGTATGTCCACACAGAGGCACCTATATGACCCTTTCCTTTGACTTTGAAAGGAACAAGGATCAAGAAGCGTTTTTCCCCCGCTTAACTTGGGGACTATGGCCCCGGCGTCTGATTTTTCAGTAAAAGAGTCTATTAGTTTATCCTTCACTTCCACAGCAGCTTCTCACTCCTGCAAACACTGATCACCCTGTGGTGAGTTTTCACCTGTGGATTGTCTAGTGAGAAAATTCGTATTTTTTTGATGAGCTGCTTTACAAATGGGGTCTTAGACTGGTATGACCAGCCAGAAAGCAAACTCCAGAAATATTCCTCCCCGAGAGGGGAGAGTCTGATCATCACACATACAGTGTGTGTGTGTGTGTGTGTGTGTGTGTGTGTGTGTGTGTGTGTGTGTGTGTGTGCGCACGCGCGCCAATTTGGTACACCAACGTGGTGCCTGCTGATGCCCCATTTTTTTCTGCTTCCTGGCTGGAGACACTATCATTCATAGATTAAGGACCTTAAAGATGCCTCCAAAAGGGGAAAAATGGCTTATCTTGTTCTTAGCCCGACTAGGTTACTCCACAGTGTACAGGCCAGTGCTCTCGCCACCCACCCATATACATACACACCCCGGGCGCCTGGGTGTCCTGCTTGGTTCTCACCTCTGTGTAGGCTTGGGTCACCTGCTCATACAAGGATTGGTGGTGGTGGATCGCCAGCTCCAGGTCCTGCATCTCGGAAGGCAGGCCACCCTCACTGCACATTTTGCACCAGGCGTCCACTCCCGACAGGAACTGTAAGGAGATGCCAACTGGGTCAGTGTGGGAGCACTGGGGGTGGGCGATGGGCACATTATGTGGACACCACCAGATACCTTAGGAAGGAACATCAGGACCTCTGATCCTTCAGAGGCCACTGTAGAGGGTGGAGTTTTTCTTTAATTTTACAAACACTAACTCCATGTAAGAAGTCAGGCCCAGGAAGTGTGGTTTCCACAAACAAAGATGACTATTAGGAAACTGCTGGGGGTGGGAGCCGTCTGCACATTCAACAGGTTATATCCACACATAGACTATAAAACACAGGTGTGCAAACAGCGCACTACATTACATGTACACATTAGAGCTGCTTGTCCTGGGCACACTCGCAGGCACAGGTGAGGGGCTGCATGTAATGTAACGAGACATTTCCACACATGAACTTCTTAGTGTGTACACCGAGTTGTGAAGAGGCGCAAAAAACACCTCATACAGAAACCCTCAGCCCCTCACTGTCCCCCTGCCCGCACCCCCCGCCTCCCCCAGAACCTTGCAGAGACCATCCCCACAAGGGATGGAGATTAACCCTCAAGGAGATCCCCAGTACTGGGTCAGTATTCTTGGTGGGGCAGAGGGGAGGGGTAGCTTAGGGGGACAGACTGTACTGTGCCTCTGGTGGCAGTGGCTCCTGGGATGTGATATATAGATACAGATCTTGACAGATATTAAATTCTTTAAACATTCAAATTAACAACTGTGGAAGACTACCGGTCTCTGTGCACAAAGAGCAAGCCAACTGAAATCATTCAGATTTATTGGGTGGAAAAGTACACCTTTAAAATGCAAATAATTCTTCACCCAACAGTCTGGAATGGTTCTGTCTATGATTCCTCTTGCCTGGATGCACAGTTCCATTTAAATTAATTGCCTAAATACCTTTTTATCTCATTGCCTAGAACAGCCCATATGAGGACAATGAAGAGCTGCCTAAATAAACGCATTGAAAAAATAGCCTTGAATCTGTTTGGTGTGTGTGTGTGTTTTTCTTCCCCTAGCTAAAAAAGAATAATAGCTTATGAGTTTCCCTGAAGGACTGGCGATACCTGAGGAAACTGAATTAAAAATAGATTCAAATAAAATTGTAATCCTCATCCAAACTAAGTCAGAAAACATCGACGAGAAGTTGACTCCTTCAGCTACTCTCAGCTCCGGCACTACATTTTCTAAACTGCTTGAGTGCTAGTCTTGGGGTCACTGTCGGCTTTCAGTCCCTGGCCTGCTGGCTGTTGTGGTTTATTTTACATTCTGTATGTTTTTTATTGCATTAGACATCTCTTAACAATTCTGGGAGAGGGCTGGGTGCTATTCAGTATCAGATTGCACTGGTACTTGATAATACCTCAGAAGCTTCCTTGCTCCACCAATAAACATTTCATAAAGGAACCCGAAAGCAACTTGACATTCATGTGTCAACTGTGACAGGAGCACCTCTTTAAGGTCCTCGGATTTCTCTGTGATACACTAAGAGTCCTACAACAGATCCCACAAAATGGTGAGCTCAAGGGAAAGAAGACAGAGAGACAGAGAGGGAAGCCTTGGGTCTCCCTTGCCAATCTAGATAAACTTTGAATGAAGTGGGCAAGTGATAGGGTTGAAAACAGAACAGGAGATTAGACATGAATATTCTCATGGTCCTAAGAATGAATCAGTCACTATCAGTCATTACCACCATTATCTTAAAAAATAAACAAAAAGACCACAAGCTAGATCCCTCTTGTTGTATGGGGCTGCCGTTGACTTGTAACATGAGTATTTTAGTCTTTGGGAAGGTCTCAGGTGGAAACAGGCACAGTGAAAGAAATACAAAATACCAGGATAGTATGTTGAAAAAATACCCACTGTAAAAACTACCATTCAAAAAGCACACTAGGTACCTTACATGTTCCATTGCTAATCCTTATAACAGCACTAGGAGATATGCAATTAGCCCCACATTAGAGATGAGGAAACAAACTCAGAATGGTGATGTGACTTGTCTAAGTGTGAATGAATGATGGGGCTGCAATTAGAACCTACATGTGTCGGCCTCCAAGTCTAGAAGCTTTCAATGATCCTAAATTGCCTTCCATGTTAGGTAGGTAACAAAGGGAGAGGTTTAAGGTAGGATCTTGTACCTGACTCTCCACTATCTGTGAGCTACTCAAGTGTCACACAAAGAAAGAAATTTAGAGGTTAAGACACAGACTTTAATGTTAGATACACCTGGATTGAAATCCAAGCTGCCCATAGATTGTGTCAATTTCAAAATAGTAAATATTTAACAACCAGCATATATGTATGTACACACATCACACACACACACACCCCAATACACAAACTTTACTAACATAAAGGATATGTAGCACATAATTTACACAGAATAATAACATATACAATGCTCTCAATTTCATGTACCCGATTGATTCTCACAGGATGCTACTGTACATAAGTGACACACTTGCATAGTTTCAACATGAAAACTGGTTGATATTTCCACCTGTGTTGCTATAAGACAAAAGTGAAAATACCTGAAGACTTATGTCAGAACATTACTCATTTATCCATGATGTGAGGGACTGTTTTGTTAATGGAATAATAGTGTTTGAATACCAAAGAATATTTCCTCAATTTTGTGTGCAATTCACAATGTAAGAGCTAGACAAGGCACTTTTTTTTTCTTTTTACAAGACACATTTTTAAGTTTAGTCAGCATTTTAAAATATTTTCTCCCTCATTTTTTTAAAGACTCTAGACAATCAATAAAACAATAAATCAAGCCTTGTTTTGTAGCTTTTGATGACTTTCATGGTGTAAAACTCCTACCTTGATCTATTTCAAGCTATCAATGTGACATCATCACATGTGGAATTAGAAACAGATGATTGGTAGGACACACTGTACAGTGTTTCCACCATAGAGATAAATAGATATAAATAATCTCGAGAACCTAGATAACAAAATATAGCACAATAATTGAGAAGTAATGAGTTCTGAGTATTTATTGTTTTGAATATGACATATTTAATATAAATTTAGTTTTAAGTAATGGCTATGTTTAACTAGCTCACAAAATTCCTAAAAATTTAACAATTGGCTCTCCATGATCTAGTTAGAGCTAGCTCCAACACACCACTGAATTTTAGGCAAGTCACTTATCTCTGAGCTTCAGTGCTCCTCTCTGTAAAATGGGTTAGTAATATTTTAGATGGGTTAGTAATATTTTAAAATGGGTTAGTAATATTTTTAAATGGGTTAGCAATATCACTGGTCAATACCAGTAAATGACAACAAATAATTATCATTTCTATCGACTGTATTATTGTTAGATCACTATTATGCATAGCAAATGCTTCATGTAAAATTAGCTTCCCCCTGCTTTCAGCACTCAGCCATCAGTTTAGTTTCACCCCTTCGGTCTACACTCAGGGAATGCAAACTAAGCAGACAATCAACACACACAAGCACACAACAATAAACTACCCAGCAGAATGGAAACAGGCTCCGGGTTCCTTCTTGTTTGGATGATAAACACAGCTACCAATGTCTCTTCATGTACACAGGGTACACATGTAGGTGGTAGAACATGGGTTACTACTGCACCTACTACTCAGCAAGGTCTTCAGTGTTTCCCAAACGGGGAGGGGCTCTCTACAGAATGTGTATGTCCTCCCACCCACCCTTCCCCTGCCGCTCCGCCCTTCCCACCGCCAGCAGCCACAGCAGCTCCCAGGGCCTCACCTGCTCAGCTTTCTGGTGGAACACCGCAGACATGGCGAGGATGGTGCTGCGCTCATCCAGGGCAGCTGCGAAGCTCTTCCACTCCTGGTCCAGCTGCGTGGAAATCTGCTTGATTTGCTGGGAGGCATAATGGCCAGCCTCAGAGAGGCGGGAGGCCACGGACATGATGCGGTTGATGTTGACATAGGCATTCTGGGAAGCAAAGGAGGAGTGCTTAGTGGGGCAGGCTGATTGCTTTCGGGGTGAGTATTTGGGGGTAGGAAGCTATCCCAAACAAAACATCTGAGAGGGGCTGGTACAGGCCACGCTAGTATATCCATTTTGGGCCCAAGGGAAGTCTTTGTCTGTGACATAAAATTTCAACAGTTAGCAAGTACAATAACTGAGGCTTCTCATTCTGGGGACCAGCATAGCTTTTAATAGTGCCAACTGTTAATGCGCATACATGCAGCCACTTTACATGGACTGCCTTAGTAATCCTCACAGCCAGCTTATGAGGTCATGCCCAGGACACAGTATGGTACTTCTAAGAGTTCCTCTCTGGAAGTAATGGCTCAGACTAGGGCCAACACTGGAGGAGGCAAAGGCACCTCTCTTGCTCAGGAGAGAGCTTCACTCAGGTCATTGTTGTCACCTACAACAGGGCAGCAATGCTCAAATGCTCATCAGAGAGGGCAAAGGACATGTGACATGATACCTCTATATCTTCCTAACACCAGGTGAAGACTTGGCTGCTCTCACGCCTTTCCCTCCATCAAAAGAGTTGGGCACTGGCCATCAGTCAGAGTTTAAATAAACAGAGCATTTGAACCCACAACATTTTTCCATGCTAAAAACAAGATCAATGGAATCATCCCTACTTGACTTAGGAACACTTTCCCACATGACCCTAAAGGCATCTGTGGGGTTCTCCTGGCCATGCCGACTCCTTTCATTTTGTGTTTTGTTCACAGTCATTCCCATCTTTGATTGCGGATTAAAATTCATGACCACCATGTGTGCTGTTTCCTCCTTGGCTAGCAGAAAACCCTCCAGGAGGGAACAAGGCAAGAGAGAAACCTCACAAACAGAAGATAGTAGTGAGCATGGTTATTTTTAACTGCTACCTCCTATTAATTGTCTGCGGTGTCAAAACAATCAAGTAATATTGTGGCACCCACAGAGAGCTTTTCTCACACAATGTCTGCCTGGAAAGACGAGGGCGGCAGGTGGCTTGTACATCTTTGTGCTTTGTCACAAATCTTCTCGAATGATAATATATGTTCTTCAACAATGGTATTTTCCCTTGGTTCTATTAGCTCAGAGATAGCTCATTAATACTGGGTAAGTTTAATGAAGTTTCTTCAGTTTCCTTTCCCTCTCCCCTCATGGTCCCCATTCATCTTAGCTGTCCCTGACCTCAAACGCTCCATCCCAAACCTGAGCCAGGTGGATAAGGTCTCTCTTCATTTTAAAGGTCTCTGTGGAAGTTTAAAAGGTTAAGTGCTGTGCTTGAACACAAATCCATCCTGATGTCTAATGACCCCCCATGCGTAATCTCTTTCTTGAGTCTGGCCTGAGACCTTTCTGACACAGTACATTTCCTTAATAGGCTAGAACATTACTGACTCTTGTCATTTGAAATAACTATCCTTCAGAGATTTAGGAATCATTATCAGCCCTGTTTTCTGAGTTAGGACACAGATTCTACTTAAAATGAAATTCTATAGAACTGACAGGAAAATTAACTCTACACTTAGAAATAGAGGGAAAGAAAGCGGGTGGGGAAGGCATGTAGTGATCTTAAAAGTTCTGTCTTCTAAGGCAATAACATTTGGATTCCTCCAAATTTCCTGCTTGTGTTGTCTTAGTTTGGGTTCGCCAAAAGCAGCCCCAGATACAAGGATTTAAGGCAGATCGTTTATTTGCGTGTGCTCCTAGGAAGCACAGCGAGGGAGTGGGGAAGTCAAAGAGGACAGAGAGAAAAATGAGTAAAAGATATGTTCATTAGCGGGTTACTGCTATGAGCAACTGGGGGTCACCCCTCCTGAAAGTTTTTGAGAAACTGTAGGACACACTTCTGAGCTGTCCCACTGGGAGGGGAGGAATCTGGGGTATTTGTGCACCAAATCCCATCACTCATGGTTGAAGAATCCTCCTGGAGTAACTCCCTGGGTTTTCCAGCCTGACCTCCACACAGGCCAAGCACACTCCCTGGATCAGAGAGTGACCATGGGCAGAGAAACACAGGAATCTGTCTGTGTGCATGGGAACCATCTGCAGATGACCTTCAGGGCGGGCTGGGGGAACAAGATGGGGTGGGACATTGACAGGGCCCAATATAGCTGTCCTTCCAAACGGGATTCAAATCTGGAAAACACTCCCCTTCACACACATTTATCCAGATCTATCTAGGGTTGTTGGGTTTTCCTGTCTTGGGAAAGACCTTGTGTGCTTTGGCCAGGTGGGGAACAGGAACAGCAAAAAGAGCAGATGACTAGCCTGTCCCCAGGGTCCCTTATGTACATCTATGGATGCCTGGCCCTCTGTCATCAGCACCTGTTTACACTCTCCCCACAGGGAGGAGTTCTCTGAACACTGCTCCCTTCTAGGAAGAACTTTCTAGCTATCAGAGAGGTCTAACTGTGGCCACGTCCTTGAGGCTTTAACGCCCTGTCACTCATTCAAATATTTATGGAGAGTGGGCCAGGCTCTGTGTTGGGGGCTGTGGGGGATCAAAGGGAAATGAGACAGGATTCCTGCCCTCAGGGGCTCACAGCTGAGACTTAAGAAAAGTCCTCAAATAACTGTAATTTAAAGCAAAATGAAGTGTTTTGACAGAAGTAGAGGCAACTAGCTGTGGGGATGAGAGGGAGCGGACCTGAACCACTGGCAGGGATGTTAGGAGGGGGCTTCCTGCACAGAAGGGGGTGGCGAGGCTGGCAGTCCTCCAAGGCCCCCTTCGACCCTTAAGCCTGTGATCATAAAGGAAAGCGAAACACAAACAAAATAAGACCACAGCTTACATTCCACATTTGAGAGACTAGCACAGTAAATGCCTTGTTTCCTTATCAGTGGGCAGAGAAATGTCTTACTAAAACTAACAGATGATTATGCTTCACAAAAGAAGTAGAGGCAACATTCCTCATAATAGAGGGATAGAGATGTTGACTCATGAATTTGCTTGGTTTTGCCTCTACAGCCCCTTTTCAAAATAGCAAAACGCTGTAGGCAAGTTCATCACATTGCCCAAGTTCATCATCGCCATCTTTATTTTCCTTCAGCCTAAAACCCGAGACAAATGGGAAGATAGATTGTACATTGCAGCCACAGACCAAGTAAAAAGAGGAATGGCAGAGAAGGTCTCAAATGACTTAAAATAAAAGAACAAGGTTAAAGCGCTGGACTAAGAGTCTCGATAAATAGGGGTGCTTAGTCATTAGGCACAAATGACCTGTCATGGCCTTTGGTCAATCCATCTGCGTGGATCCAATCTTCTGTGTCACTCTTTGTGCCTCTGATAAGGAGCATTTGGGGACACGGTCTGTCCTGGGGATACAGCCCGCAGGGATGGAGATTCTGACTCTTCATGGCCTTTCCCTTCCTAGCAGCTGCCTCCTCCACTCCCTCCCATCTGCCTGGCCCTGCCAGCCTTCAATGCCCTTCTGCCTGCAGAGCTGTCCATCAGTCCAAGGCATCAAAGTCACGGGGCCAGGAGTCCGGAGACACGAGTTCTGGTTCATCCCTGGCACTTACTTGTCACTTGCCTCCTCTGCGCCTCAGTTTCCTCATTTATAAAATGAGGGAGATGAGCTAAATGATCTCAGACGTTCCATTTGTGAGTAAGCAGTATCTGCTCTACATAATAACCCAGGCCTCTAGATCCATTCTCTGCTTACGGAGGGCACCCAGATTGGATGTAGAGAGAATGTAGTAGGTCACAGTTTTCTTCTTTCTGGGGGAATGCTGGCTAAATCTATTCCCCTCCCCAAACCCTCTTTTGTGTAGGAAGTGGGGTATAAAACTGAAGAAACAGGGTAATTCAAAGCTTTCAAGTGTCTACTGCAATGGGAATGTTTTCAACCAAAGAATGACAGGATCTGACTTAGGCTTTCAAAAAAGGTTGCTCTGTGCACTAATGGGTTAGGGGGGGGAGCAGTGCGTGGAGGGCGGCCTGGGAGAGGTATGCTGCCTACCGCGGAGGCACGCATAGCCCAGCGTTGGTTGTCTGCAGGCCTCAGCCCCTCGTCCTGGCTCTGCTCTCTGCCCTGTCGTGTGAGGCCCACAGCTGGAGCTGGGTGACCCAGGGCCAGCTCCTCCCCCCGCCGCTTCTGCTCTTCAGCCCCTTCCCCTGAGCAGAGCCGCCTAGACCAATCAGCCTCCCTGGCAGGAAGTTAAGAACATGACTAATAATTCTGGCTTAGTGAGGATCTTCTTAAACCCTTACCTCAAAACTGCTTTATTACATATATGCAGTGCCGCTATTATTATTATTATTTTTTAAAGATTTTATTGGGGAATTGGGGAAGGGGACCAGCCAAGTTGTTGTTCTTCGATCTTCGTTGTGGAGGGCACCAGTCGCCATCTGGTTGCCCGTCAGCAGCTCGTGGCCTCTAAGCTCAAGGTGCTGTGTTCAATCTTAGTTGGGGGTGGGCATAGCCACCATCCCATGTGGGAGTCGAACCAGCAGCCTATTGTTAAGAGTGCATGCCCTATCCACTGAGCCACCCGGGAGGCAGCTCAGCTCAAAGTGCCGAGCTTAGTTGCGGGTCTTAGTTGCGGGTGGGCTTAGCTACCATGAACAGGCAATCTTGTTGTTACACCAGCTGAGCCATCCTGCCACCTGTTAGCAGCTCAGCGACAGCTCAGCTTGGGCTTAGTGTCACTGGCCCATGTGGAAATCGAACCAGCGGACCTGTTGCTCAGAGCTGGCGCTCTTAAGCCAACTCTTAACCAACTGAGCCACTCGGCTGGCCCGCCGCTATTATTATTATCATTCTTCAAAGTATTGCGTAAGTCCAAAATGTAAAGACCATCTACCTTGCAGAAGGCCGAGCACCCTCAGGATGGTCTGTTGCTTTAGGCATTCCATCTTACCTCCCCGCAAAGGCTCTCCTCCTGCCCATCATTTTGGTTACCAATGGGAAAAGTAACTAAATTCCAGCAAAATCTCGCTAACTCAAAAACCCTCTCTGTATTTACACCCTGCCTCC